CAGGGTTTATGTTCTCCCACATTATTTCAACATAATCATTTCTATCATTTCGTTTATGCTCGTGTTGAAAGCCTAGTGCATGCATGATTTCATGAATAATCACATGTTTAAATAAACATCCATCTCCGATACTAATATCTTGAGAGCCAGGACGGTACCATAATTTTCCAACACTTGACCAGCAACTAAAAAAAATTTTTATTAACATTTTTAAAAAACGCAATTAGAAAACTTTTATATATTAAATCAAAATTACACATAAATACTGAGTGTATGTATATATCAGGCTGTTACAGGAAGTGCATGTAGTCCCACACCTCGTCTGTCCACATCTAAAATATTTTCTCAAGACAACTTGACCACAGTTGTTTGCATGTTTTAAAAAATCAGGCATTTTTAAAATTTGAAAAAAAATAAAAACTAAACATGTATTTTTAACTAAAAAGCTTTTATTTTTATTTATAAATAACTTATTTTTATGATAAATAAATTTTAATTAAACGCTTTAAAATAATAACAAATAACTTCAAATGATTGTTTATAATAAACACATTTATTTTAATTATTAAAGAATATATATATATATATATATATATATATATATATATATATATATATATATATATATATATATATATATATATATATATATCAGTATTTTTCCAATGCACTTCCAAAATATTAGAATTTTTTATAATTTTTTAATTTAAGTATATGATTTTTTTCAGACATAATAGACGCTAGTTCAATAATAACACATTTATTAAATAAATATGATTGTCAATTTTTTTTAAAATCATTTTATTATTTGTTTAGTAAATGAAGTTCTTCTTTACAATGATTTTTATTTTTTTTAATTTTTTAAAAAATTAAGTTTTTTTTTTCAGTTTCTCTTTCAATAAAATTTTTTTTAAAACTTCTGTTTATATACTTTTTTTTTTTTTGGTTTCCTCTTTTATTTTAGTATAGTTAGCTCAGTTCTTTCAGCACATTTTTAAAGTACTTAAATTGTCAGAAAATGAAAACAGCCATGGTAAAGTTGTCTAAAACTACTATTTTATGCATAGTCAAACTATGTGTGTAACCACACATACTTTCTGTAACAGCTCTCTCTCTCTCTTTCTCTCTCTCATTCACTTGATTTTAAATAAAATATTTTTGATGAAATATTTTTTTAAAACAAATATTATTAAATTAAACAGTAAAGATTTCATATTGTTAAAAAAAAATTTATTATATAATTGTTTTACATATATTTTTAATTAGAGTTGTTAACGGGAAGGTTTCATACGATTCTGTAAAAATTTAAAATCCTTTCCAAAGGATTTTAAATTTTTTTGTACCGAATTTAACAAAACAATTAAAATCATTTTGCAATTACTCATTTGAACTTTTGAAATTTGAACCTTTCGCAAGTTGAATTTAAAAAAAAACACTTTTACTACATACGAAAATTAGCGAAGTAGCGAAATAAAAATTTCCAAAATTTCATTTGCAAAAAAAGCACATTTGTTGAACAAGGTTTAGAAGTGTATTGAATTATTTTGAAAGAAAGAAAGAAAATTATGACAAAAAAAGTATAGCGTGGAAGTTCTTTGATATAAGCATGACTCCTCATATAAGCAAGTGCAAACTATGTGATAGTTTAGCTACGAGAGGAGGAAAATCTTTCAAGTCTTTTGGAACTAAGCAATGGTAAAACATTTGGGTTTAAAGCATTCCAAAGAGTTTGAACTTGTGGAAGAAAAAAAAAAAAGTTCAATCATTGCCTTCTATTTCTGAGTCTATTTCGAAACAAAGGATCCGTGGTTCAAACCCCACCTCTGAGAAAATCTTGCTTTTGGTTAGTTAGCGTAAAAACTTTTGGTTAGTTAGCAAAAAAACTTTTGGTTAGTTAGCGTAAAAAGCGTATTTTGTGTGAATAGTTCAGCGCTAGAGATTTCACAAGTTTTTATTCCAACTTTTAAAAAATGGACTTGGTGCCGAGTACCCGGACTTAGACCCGGTTTTTTTAGCTGGGTACCCGAAATTGGAGACTCAGCATAAACTGGTTCCGGCACATCTCTATAATATAGTACATAAAGAAGGTACATAAAATTATAAATATTAAACACCTTTATGTTCCAAAATATTTGTCAGGAAATGTTATGGTCAGAAATGTTAAAAAATAATCAATTTAATATTTTACTTTTTGAAATTTTAAAATAAAAAATAAAAATTTATGTTGTAATTAATTCTTTTGAAACAGTAACTTGCGGAACAGTCACTTACAGAAAAAATCTTATAAAACATGTCATAATAGATGTATTTAACTATGTTTTATAAATCAAATTTAATAAATCAAATTTATAAATCTTATAAAACATGTCATAATAGATGTATTTAACTATGTTTTATAAATTTAACTATTTATTAATCAAAAATGCAATTAATTATTTTTAATTTTCAATTCAAACTTTTAAAAAAGGTACTTAACTAAGTACTAATTATTTATTGACAATAAATAATTAGTACTTAGTACTAATTATTTATTGACTAGTACTAACCATTTATTGACAATAAATAATTAGTACTATGAACTAAGTACTAATTATTTATTGTCAATAAATAATTAGTACTTAGTTCATAGTACTAATTTTTTATTGATAATAAATAATAAGTACTTAGTTCATAGTACTATTTATTTATTGATAATAAATAATTAGTACTATGAACTATGTACTAATTATTTATAAATATTTATAGTGATAATAAGTGATGAATTAGAAGAGGTGGAGTCATGTGATTTTTTTGATAATGATGATTTTAGTAATTATACGATGTCATAAGGTTCTGAATTAGACTGATCCAGATCAAATTTATTGTGGAACTATTTCTGTAGCCACTGTTCCTAATTTTGATTCTCAATTACAAGGACACTCTTGCACAAGAAGTGGAAATACTAGAAGTCTCTGAACAAGATGTACTAGGGGAGGTTATAGAAATTTACTATCAACTAAACAACTTGACTTGGTTACTCTAAATAACAATACAAGAAATGAGAATTACTATCGATTGGAAAGAATATCCATCAAATATCAAAAGTTTTATTTTTAACAAAATACCTGGATTGAATCAGGATGTTTCTAAGAATGTACTTCTAATGTTTTCATTCAACTTGTTATTGACAGATGACTTATTGAATACTTTGCTGACAGAGTTATTAATACAGTAAGACTATTATGACATAGATGGAGCCAACGGAAAGATCAATCAAACAAGATTGAAAAAAATAAAAATTTATTGGAATAAATCAGAGACTCTAAAGAAAGACAGAAAATGGAACCCAGAGGCAGTTAAAAAATGCAAAATTAAAAAAAAGAGAGGTTTTTGTAGGTCTCAAAATGATGTTACAGTTTCCAAATGGAAAGACAAAAGAGATGTACTTACCATATCCAATGTACACGTTCCACAAATGGTAAAAGTTACCAAACCCCATGAAAAATAGAAATAAAATCTAAAAACTGTCTGAGACTACAAAAAATCAATGTCTGGTATTGATCGAAGTGACCAGAGGTTATCCTATCACTACGGTCTTCGAAAAACTTTAAGGTGGTACAAAAAAGTCCATATCCTGGAAATGATGTGAAATAATTCTTTATACCTTTCTACCAAATTTTCGAATAATAAAATTTTTTGCCATCTTGATGAGTTTAAAAGAATATTATAAAAACGTTTTGTTGGAGAACAAAAAGTAAAACCACCAGCAAGAAGACCTTTGGCAAGTTTCAATTACCCACTGATAATTCTATAAAGTAGAAAAAAAATAAAACCTACAAAGAATTGTAAGCAGTATATAAAAAAACAAGTAAGGGGTCATTCCATGTAAAACTGGGACAGTCATTTCAATCACCCCTTGGATTTTCTTAAAATTTTTACCAGTGGTAACTATTAAGGAAACATGAAAAAATGCAAAATTTGAGCTCCCAAATCCAAACCGTTCAAAAGTTATGACATTTTGAAATTCAGCCTAAAACGTCCTATTTTTTTCCACTTCCGCCATTATGAACTTTGTAGTTGTACTTTTAATTGAATAATTTAAGATCTAGTGGAGGAATGTAGCTGAAAATCAGTACCTGACCATTTTTGAGGGTGCTGAATTCAAAAATGTAGATAAAATAGTGAAATTTAAATTTTTTGATAGTTATTTTTTCATTTTAAAATGGCCAGTCAAATTTTTTGTTTTGTAACCATGGGTTGCGCTTTCATTAATTCCCGAAGTTGCCCAAGTCTCATGGATTCGATTTTTTTTTCAAATGAAGTAGGTGATCCTAGGCTATCTTTATAAAAAAAATGGTTTTGGGTTCTTAAAGCATAGAAAAGTTATTTCATTTTGAAATTTAGACAAAAAATTTCTTTATTTGGCATCTATTCTCTATTATAGATTTTATAGCGATACTTATTGTGTGAATAATTTAAGATCTAGTAGAGAAATATGACTGCAAATTGGTATCTGACCATTTTTAAAGGTGTTGAATACAAAGACGAAGAGAAATTAACCCAATTCCTAATATTTTAAAATAATATTTGAATTTTAAAATGGTATAGTATTACCTAACCAAAAAACGGGGTAACATTTTCACAAATTGCCTGACTCTCATGGGTTCAATTGTGGTGTGTAAAAACAGTTTATTAAGGTTGATTTTGATATAGAAATAAAATTTTGTGAAGTGAATTATCATGAAAAATATAGTTTTGCACCTGCTGTGATGTGTAAATATAGTTTTGGGACATCAGTTATGTGTCTAAATATAGTTTTAAAACAACAGTTAATAATAACAAATTTCAATAAAAAAAATTATTTTAATTTTAGATTAAATAATTATTAAATCTTGTTTGGTAATTCAGTTTCTTAGTCATGGCAAACAGTCAAAAGTGCTCTATTGGAATCAACCTAGAAAGTGAATGTCATCTTACAACATATACATCGTTGCTGGGAATCGAACCTTTTGAAGATATTATTGAATATGAAAGAGAAATATTAATGTGGAGGACTGGGCTCTCAATAATAAATATCAAACCAACAACTTGTCTCCATCATAAACATGTTTATTTGAAGCGTTATACAACTAAATTAACACGGTGCTGCAATCCATTTAATACTCATAACAAAACTATAAAAGGTATTTATAGTAATCATTAATTTATAGTAAAACTTTTAGTTTTGTAGAAACGTTTTGAATTACAATAATGAAATTCTTGGCAGCAAAATTCTATTTGTATAACGCTTCAAATAAACATGTTTATGATGGAGACAAGTTGTTGGTTTGATATTTATTATTGAGAGCCCAGTCCTCCACATTAATATTTCTCTTTCATATTCAATAATATCTTCAAAAGGTTCGATTCCCAGCAACGATGTATATGTTGTAAGATGACATTCACTTTCTAGGTTGATTCCAATAGAGCACTTTTGACTGTTTGCCATGACTAAGAAACTGAATTACCAAACAAGATTTAATAATTATTTAATCTAAAATTAAAATAATTTTTTTTATTGAAATTTGTTATTATTAACTGTTGTTTTAAAACTATATTTAGACACATAACTGATGTCCCAAAACTATATTTACACATCACAGCAGGTGCAAAACTATATTTTTCATGATAATTCACTTCACAAAATTTTATTTCTATATCAAAATCAACCTTAATAAACTGTTTTTACACACCACAATTGAACCCATGAGAGTCAGGCAATTTGTGAAAATGTTACCCCGTTTTTTGGTTAGGTAATACTATTCCATTTTAAAATTCAAATATTATTTTAAAATATTAGGAATTGGGTTAATTTCTCTTCGTCTTTGTATTCAACACCTTTAAAAATGGTCAGATACCAATTTGCAGTCATATTTCTCTACTAGATCTTAAATTATTCACACAATAAGTATCGCTATAAAATCTATAATAGAGAATAGATGCCAAATAAAGAAATTTTTTGTCTAAATTTCAAAATGAAATAACTTTTCTATGCTTTAAGAACCCAAAACCATTTTTTTTATAAAGATAGCCTAGGATCACCTACTTCATTTGAAAAAAAAATCGAATCCATGAGACTTGGGCAACTTCGGGAATTAATGAAAGCGCAACCCATGGTTACAAAACAAAAAATTTGACTGGCCATTTTAAAATGAAAAAATAACTATCAAAAAATTTAAATTTCACTATTTTATCTACATTTTTGAATTCAGCACCCTCAAAAATGGTCAGGTACTGATTTTCAGCCACATTCCTCCACTAGATCTTAAATTATTCAATTAAAAGTACTACTACAAAGTTCATAATGGCGGAAGTGGAAAAAAATAGGACGTTTTAGGCTGAATTTCAAAATGTCATAACTTTTGAACGGTTTGGATTTGGAAGCTCAAACTTTACATTTTTTTTTGTTATATTGATAGGTACCACTGGTTTAAATTTGAAAGAAATCTGAGAGGGTGACTGAAAAATTTTAATTTTTTGTCCCACTTTTACATGGAATTACCCTAAGGAAAAAATCAAGATATTACAGATACTGGGCTGACCAATCAGCTCTTTGTTTTGATCCCTGTTTTAGATTGTATCACTAAAACATAAGTGAAACACATAAAGAAGAAGCGGTTTAAAGCAATGCAGATGATATATACAATACTTATATGTAAATTTTATCTTTAAATCAGTAATTTTTTCAATAAAGAAATAGTTAAAGGAAAACCTCAAGTAAGAATATTTACAATACCTTATTCATAAAATCCGTAAAAAGTGCACTTTTTAATCAAAATAAATAAATTGAAATATTGACAAATATATGTTCTCACATAAAAACTTAACTGATGGATGTTTAATTCAAGATTTAAAAGCAATTTTAGAGAATAAAACCTTCAGAATAAGAAATTATTAGCATTTAAACTCAAGCGACTATACTTGTCATCCGTACGCAAGGACAATTTCGTTCAACGAGTATACTTGTCTTCTGTACGCAATGTGTTAAAACATTTAAATTTTTAAATAAATATTTCCTATAATGATTGCCCTTAATCAAAATCAATTTTAATGTTTTCATACAATAGGCAAATAGATTTAGCATAACTTTTTGTTGTTTGATTTTTTAAATTACCATGCAAATTTAAATAACATAAATAACATTTCCGTTTTTGGAAAAATAAAGAAAATTTAAAGTAACTATATATTATTTTTTAATAATTGCAAAAAAGAAAAACACTCTGAAGAATATAGTAAATGGAAAATTAAATGATCTGGCAATTTAACAAGCAACATAATTTGACATCTAAAATCGGTCCATAAAATATCTGGACTATCAAATAGAAATATCAAAAGGCAAGAACTTCATTTACAATTATGACCTTTATAAAAATATATACGACTCAACAACACTTAGCTCTTCATAGAAAATCCTGTAGAGAAGAAATTATATGGGATAAAGTCAAAACACTTAAAGAAGAATATGATAAATTTGATAGGAAAGTTTGTGAAGCATTAGAGATTCAAAAACTAAATTTTAGACTCCAATTTTTGCATTCTTCCATCAAAGAAGCCGAAACTAAAGCTGACATCAAAGTTTAATATTTAAAATTTATTATAACGGTCATAATTGTAATTTTTAATTACGATATTATAGCTGATGATGCTGGTAACTATAATCCAGCGAAAATTTCAAGCAAAGGTAAATATTTAATATAAATATATACATATATATATATATATATATATATATATATATATATATATATATATATATATATATATATATATATATATATATATATATATATATATATATATATATATATATATATTAACATAAATATATATATATATGTATATATATATATATATATATATATATATATATATATATATATATATATATATATATATATATATATATATATATATATATATATGTGAATGTATATGACTATATTAAGGGTCAACCATAAAGTACGCTTTTTTTTGACCATCCCCACACACACACACCCCACACACACCCCGCATTTTGCCATACGCCTTTTGAGTACCCTCTACATCCCTAAAAGTACCTACACTTTTAACCTACCAACCTAAAATTTTATGATATTTTTTTAAATTTAATGTCTTTATACTTTTATAATTGACCTCCTGCCTCCCTCACCTCATATAATGATATTTTGATGCGGTAGTGGTGTAGTGGTAGAGTGCTCGCTTCATAAGCAAGAGGTTGCGAGTTCAATTCCCAACACATCACTGGTAGTACCGCGCTCAACTTGTTTCTCCGCGCAGCAGCCTTGTTCGTCAAGGTTCATGTTTCGGAGTTATAGAGTTGAGAGAGGGTTATAACTACAAGTAGCCTCCTCATCTGTAGTGGCCTTCTTGGCCTTGGGGAGGTGAATTACAAAAAAAAAAAAAATATATAAGCCATTTTAAGTTTTATTGTTTAAACAAAAATACTTTTTTTTTTTTTTAATTTTATTTAAGGGTTTAGAGATAAAGTAATGGAACTAAATTTTTCTAAAAAAAAATTGTTTGAAAAAAATTCTTTGGCCTTGTTAAGAAATGTTATGCAGCTTACTTTTTTCATAAATTTTAAAAGCTTTTAGTTTAGGTGAAAATTTTTTTGTAAAATATAAAACGCCATTAAAAAGCCAAAACTTTTTTTTTTTTGAATATTTAAATTATCTTTTAACAGTGTCTATGTGATGTTTATTTAGAGAATATTAGGTCATAAAAATAATTTAATAAAAAAATAATTTTTTAAAGAAACAAATCATTTTATAAACAAATTTTTCATCTAAATATGATTTTAAAAATTTTAATTTATTTTGAAGGAATTTAAATAGTAAACCATTCAATGTAGAACTTAGTTTTAAATGAATGAAAAATAGTTTTGCAATTTTAATTAAAGTCTTTTTTTAGTCATCTACTAATTCATAACATAAAATATAAGTCTCTCCATCATATATTATCATTGATTTTTATAAGCAAAAGGAAATTAAAAACTTTTTTTTCCTTATAAAAAAGGGATTACTTTACAACACATTAAAAGCTTATAATTACAAATTATTGACATATTTGCAATAATTTGTTGATGTGTAAAGGTGGCATATTTTTTTGATAAAACAAGCACTCATTTCAAGAGAAAAACCTAATGCTGTTTAAATTGGCATGTGCTTTATCTGAAAATAGAAAAGTGAATGTTTTCAATAGTTTACAATATTACTTTTATTAACACAAATTATTTATAGTCTACACTTAGCACAATAATGAAAAATGACTGAATGAATATGCTAGAAACTCGATGCAAACATTTTTATAAAAAAATAGCGACTCAAAAACTGGCCAAATGCCCAAGTGTACACCCCTTCAGTTTATATGGCCAAGTGTACACCCCTGTTAGGCCATATAAACTGAAGAAGAATCTGAATTTAACATGAAAAAAACTTTAAAAGATAAGATTACAATATAAGATGCATTCGGCATAAAATAAGTTTATGTGCAGTGAAAGGTGAACTAGCTGTCAACATTCATCCAGGAGGAAAAACAATTTTAATCTCACAGCACGAAAAAGAACTGTTAGGATGCCTTATTTTAATGGTTGATTGGGGCAGGGGTTTAAGTAGAGGTGAGGTAAAAGATGTAATACAAGATTTTATAAAAGCAAACAATATTGATACACCTTTTATAGGTTGTCAACCAAATAAAGACTTGCAGCAAAATCCTAAAATAATACCAAGAAAAACTGAACATTTAAATAATTCAAGAAGTCATGCTTAAAGTCCTGAGACCATAAACATATGTTTTGATTTTGTTAAAAAAATATTGAAAAACACAGGAATTATTAACCTTCCAAGTCAAATATCCAACTCTGGCTCATCAGGGTTGAATAAAATTATTTTTAAATTATTATAGTGCCCATCAAAATTTAATTTAAGAATGAATTTAATTTTAAATTAAAATTTTCTTAAATTAAATCTTTTGTTAAAAAATAGTAATAATTTTACCCTTTTTGTTTAACAAAATTTATCCAGTGGCTTTGACCATTGTATGGCACAAAGGTCAAGCAAGAAACATTTGCAATATCATTCATAGACTCTATTATGATATTTTGGTCACCAACTAAAAGAAACAAACAAGTTTTAGCATTCTACCAATTGAAACACATAAAATTTTTAGTAAATTATATTAATAAAAATAAAAATTTTATATAAAATCATATTAATAAAAAAATAACTGGAGGGCCATTCTATGCCAAGTGGAGTAAAGATCCTTTATGGACCATTTTAGATTTTGATGAAACTTTTTGATCTTGTACATATATAAAAGAAAAAAATGTTTTAAAAATTTCAGATCAATACAGTTCTTGAGAAAACACTATTTAAGTAAATAATAAAAACAAATTAAAATAATGAACGCAATCAGCCCTTTCGATTTGTCATCCGAGAAGGGAATCTCAAATGCATCAACTCACAAAAAACAATCAATATCAACGATACTGAGAAAAATTCGTAAGAAGCGTGTGCAGCTACAGAACTATTGTATGTCAGTCTAATCTGAACAATTAGCAAATCAATCAACAGATATGTTGGCACCAAACAAAAATCTTCATCAGAATAAATCAAAATCTCTTTATTGTTTCTATACCAATGCAACTTCACTCAATAAAAACAAAATTACTTAACTCCAATTATTAGCTGAACAAAATAAATATGAATATAACTGAAATCTGGTTCAATTCTACTTCTGATCCGTCAATAACTATTTAGGAAAACTATTTAGCTATTTAGGAAAGCTAGAACCAATTATGGAGGTTGTGTAGCAATTTATGATCATATTGGTACAGCTATGCCTCTTAAGGCATAGCTGTACCAATATGATCATAAATATATTTCTTAGCTGGTAGCACATATATTTCTTAGCTGGTATATTTGCACATATATTTCTTAGCTGGTAGCACAATTTAAGCAGTATTAATTATAATAGTTTTAATAGCAAAAAACTCCTTTATAAATATGGCAAATACAATGAAATAAATACTTTTATGAATAACACAAATTGGCAAGCTGGACTTATAGATTGCAATGTTCAAGAATGTTATTCCATATGGTTTGTCCTCTATAATGAAGCATGTCCTAAGTTTATTCCAAAGGCATCAAATAATACCTAAAAAAAAGTCAACCCTGGATTACAAACAAGTTTAATCCAAGGTTAATGAAGATATTTAGACTAAAAAAAGAGCTTCGGTACATGCTTAAAGTGGAAAAATGCAGTGCATATCAAGGAGTATACAAATGTCAAAAAGGAGGTAAATAAGAGCAGCAAACCAGCATTACGTGTCTATGAGTTAAAGCTAGCTAACAACAAGCACAATCCAAAAAGACTATTTGCATGTATTAATAGTAAATGAATAATGAGCAATCAAATATCCGCCTTAACATCAGATTCATATTAAATGAGCATTGATGGAATAACAAAAGCAAACATTCTCAACAACCAATTTCAATCCATTTTTGCAAAGGAACCACTGACTCAGCCACTAAAACCTTTTGCATCCAAAACAAATATTTTAACTTTGGATATAAAAATTGACCGAAACATTGTTCTCAAACACCTAAATATGCTTGATGGAAATAAGTCAATGGACAATGATAACATTAGTCTGTTTATTTTAAAAACATGTGCCACATCAATGGCAGTTCTGCCAACTTTGATTTTTCAAAGTTCCATCATCTTGGCTTAGAGCTAATGTTACACCTATTTATAAAAAAGGTAGCAGAACAGATCCAGCCAATTACAGGACAATATCGCTCACTTCTATTCCATGCAAACTTATGGAAAAAAATAGTAGACAAGTCATAATCGATCATTTGGTAAATAACAAATTGCTTTCCAAAACTCAACATGGTTTTATTTCAAAAAAGACTTGCATCACAAATCTTCTAGAAACAATGAACTTTTTGACTCAAAGCAAATCAAAGAAAAAACTAGTCAACCTCATTTTACTTGACTTTGCACATTTGACAAGAAAAAAAAGACATTTGATAAAGTTTTGCACATAAAACTACTGCAAAACCTTGAAATGTATTGTATTTATAAATTTTTTTCCAAATGTCAAGGGACATTGACATTTGGAAAAAAATTTATATTGCATATATTAGGAGTTTGCTATGCATTTGCTTTTAACCCTTACCTTAATAATGACATAAAAAAATTGAAAAGGTACAACGCAACGCAACAAAAGTTCCTCAGGCTTTGAAAAAAAAGACTACAAAATTTGATGTAAAATCATGAAATTAACTACTAACCGTGTAGTCAATGACTACACGGTTGTTAAATGCTTTGCCAGATAATGTCATCAAGGCAAAACCAGCTGATAAATTTGAACAACTACTGGACAGTTTTTAGTCATCGTAGTTACTACAGATCATCATTTACCATAAATGCTACATAAAAGTAACTGACAATACAAGTTAGGTATAGATGTGTGTACTCAGCTGATGATGAGTTTAAAAGGCTGTGGCTTTGTGTAACTTAATTAACTAACCAACTAAGTAATAGTCTATTTTGTTTAAATTTCACTCTTTAAGCGAAATGGGTTTTTTATCATTTTAACAGCTAATAACTTTTAAACAAATTGGATTTTTACTTATACATCATACAATTATTTTAAGATACCGAGAAATGCTACAAATAAAAAAAAAGAGTTCAAGCTTTTTTCATCACAGGAGGCCAGTCATAATTAGAGATTTTAAAAATCTATTTAAGTTGATAAAGTTTTAAATAAGACAGCCATTAATTATTTGTAGCTTTTTATATTTATTATTTATTTTCATGTTTATTATTATACTTATTGAAATTTTTTGTGATTTTCAAAGAAATTAATCCTAAAAACTAAATTAAAAACTATTATAAATCAAACTGCCTGTTGATCTACATGTGGCGGATAAATATTTTTAAACAATTCAGTTGATTAGAAAGTTGCGTTCAAAAGTTTTGGTGTGATCCAAATCAAGATTTTTTGTTGAATGATTGTTGATGCTAAGCATATGTTATTTAAGATATCATCTTTGATAACAATCAATCAAAAAGAGTTTATTTATCAAAACCAAAAAAATAAATTGATATTAGCCTGCCATTATGGAAAAAGCTAAAATGCCAGATTTTAAATTTTGTTTTTCTAAAAGTATCCATAACATTCTTGCTATCTTAAAATAATTGAAGTAAAAATCTAACAATTTCAAAAGTTATTAACTGTTTAAAATGATGAGAAAAAAACATTTAGCTTGATGAGTGAAATTTAAGCAAAACAAACTATGAAATTTAAGCAAAATAAAGTGTTAGTTGAATAGTGTTGTCATAAACTGTAATAGATACTGATCTTAAATTTTCAAAGCATGCTTTTCTCATATATATGCTTTTTTTTTAATTTTATACAAAATAGTTCATTACTTAAATAGTTTTTTCTCAGGAATCGTATTAGACATTGATCTGTATTTTTAAAATATACTTTTCTTATATATATGTACAAAATCAAAAGGTTTCAGCAAAATCTGAGATAGTCCATGAGGAACCTCTTAAAAATTTACTCTGTTTGGCATGGAAACAAAAACAATGTAACATAGTACAACAAAGTGGTATTTTTATGCCATTATACAATCATTACAGACTATAAAAAATGTAATGATAAAGAATGATGCAGTCTTGCAATAGTATAATTTAAAAAAAACTTACGACTACTTTTGTCAATAACATATGGAACAACTTTTTCATGCCACAAATATCTGCGATCTCTTTGGGCAGTTCGTTTAAATTCTTTGTATGCATTACCATCAATATGGATATCACTTTCAATAAACTTTTTGTCAGATTGAATTGTTTCTGTAACATTAAAACATCAAGATAAAAAAATCAACATTTTATTTAAATCATATAAGCTATCAAAACCATCATTAGACAAAACAATAAATTATTTGATATACAAGTATATAAGATTAAGTCGTTAGCATAAAAACAATCACAATGTGCTTACTTTTGTTTATTGAAGATATTATGTCAAATGCACTTTGCTTATTAAAATTTAATGGAACAAGACCTAAAAAAAATTAAAATTAAACAATTTTATAAAAAAAATTTAAAATAAAAACCAGGTACACAAATATAAAAAAAAGGTTGTTATTACAATAAATTTGATATTAAAAAATAAGATATTAAAAATGTTTACAAATAAATTTAGTTTTAATTACTTAAATATTTATGGTTAGAGACTTTTAAAAATTAGACAATGTATTTAACAAGGGAATTTGATTGCAGAGGCCCTATCAAGAAATTTCCTTGTAAACAGGATAAAAAATTGAAAACCATAAAATTAGATTCCTAAAAAGAAAATTTGAAAAAAAAAACAAATTTTTATTTATGTATATTAATAACCAACCGTAAAACCTAAAGCCCACTAACACTGCAGCATTTATTATAATTGAACAAATGTTAAAATTGTATCAATAATACAGTATATATAATAATGCTATCTTTATAATACTATTTTTATAATAGTATTATAAAGATATAATATTCTATATCATAATTATATAGAATATATATTTATATAGAATGTATGATATAATATATTGAGCACTCCACAAATTATGATTCAGTACTAAATCATAATATGTTTAGTAACTGAGTGGGGTGCTCTTGGGTAACTTTAAAACTAAACGGTTCACAGGATCAAAAAAATAGAAACTATCCATTTTCTTAGGAATGAAAATTTGGCAAAACCAAATTAATTGTTAAGTTTCTTCAATCTTTAATTTTTTTTTTTTTGGTTTAATTGATAACAAAAGCATGTACTGTTATACTTTTTATTTAAACTTAATTCACTTAGTTTTTCTATACTTAAATGATTTTGCTGTAGTGTTGTATACTTTTCTTTTTCTTAATATTATTAATGTTACCATTATTACTATTATTGTTTTATTACAATAATAACTATTATTATTATCGTTACCACTACAAATAATTATATAATTATAAAAAATATTTCTTAAGGTGTTTACTTAAGATTAGTATTTCATTTCTTATTGTAAATATCAGATTTATTTTCAGAATATATAAGATAGATTATTATAACTTTTACTTTATTCGTATATCATACTAATTACTATATACCATATTTGTACCTAAATACTATATTTGTACCTAATTAAACTTTTGGTGGTATGATTTGTTACATTTTTTTGTTTGTTTACATACAGGTTTTGTTACAGGGCCGTATTCCAAGCTGACTCAGAGCCCTGGGGCAAAATTAAATTATCTTAACCGACTAGATAGCTCTGAATCAAGTGAACCGAGTAGGGGCTGTTGGATAGATCATCAAACGAATGGATTGTTGTGCGGTACGAGCAGGGCCACCGAGAGGGGGGGGGGCAAAGGGGGCTTACGTGCCACGGGCGTCAAGAATATAGGGGCGCCAAAAATGACACTTAAAAAAAATAAAGACACTTAAAAAAAAATAAAAACTTTTTTTTAAGTGTCTATACGATGTTTAACTTTTAATTTAAATGTTTTGTGATTTTAAATGTTTTTATAGTATAATTTCTTGAAATAAATAAAAAGTTTATTTAATTTACAACTTCGGTTTTCATGTTCACGGTTATTATGTTTAGTGCAATGAGTTTGCCTTCAGAGAGAACTTTTTTTGTATATATGCACAATATGAAAGTGACGACGTATTATATTTCGACATTAAATCTCACGAAAGTATTAACGTGCATATTTCAATGTCAATATATGCAACTCCATCTCAAATGTCAAATCTGCTTATTTAAAGGTAAAATAAGAAAAGAAAAGTAAGAAAAAAAAAGGAATAAATTAAAAAATTACTTTATAAATATAAAAATTAAAAAAAGTAAATGTAAAACAAGGTTAAAAGATTTAAATAAGTATAGATTAAAAAAACAAAAACAAATAAAAATGTAACAAAAGCTAAAAGAAAAATATGTTCGAAAATAGTGAATAAAATATGTATGGCAATCAAACAAACTTTAGAGTCTGAGGTAGCGAAGTGGAGTGAAATATTGCCGCTGTTAAACCAATAGCAAACGACCACGGGAAATAATTACTGCCCTTATTCGTACTATAGAGGATCTTGACCTTACTGCTGACATGCTAAATCAAGCTAAATCTTTGATAAAGTGTTTTAAATCCTTTGAAACTGTTCTACTTCTGACCATTTGTTTTAAAGTTCTTCAAGTTGCAGATGAAGTAAGCCGTTTGTTCCAGTCAACTTCACTAACAATAGATGACGAAGTTATTCTAATTCAACAGCTAATAAGCGATATTTTGACTGAAGCAAAAGCTGTTGCTGGTCCTCTAGGCTTTGAAACGGAATTTTTGACAAAACGAAAAAGAAGAGAGCGAAAAGGTATCACAATGAACTTACAAATGCAGCTTTCTGCTATGAGAGCCCCGAGCATCAATTTGAGGTAAACATCTTCAACGTTGCTCTTGATCATTTTATTTATCAATTTCAGTCAAGATTTGACAAAGTAAATAGTGTTTCCTCAAGTTTACCTAGAAAAGAGTGTTTCTTCAAGATTCTCATTCATCTGGTTGAAAGACCAAGAACCAGATTCTTAAGAGATAAAAGCTCGTGAATTAGCACAGTTCTACAAGAAATGAAGGAGTCTTCTTTTTTTATTCCTGGAAACTCATTGAGCCTTCTAAACCAAATACATTCAAAGAGTCTGCAGCCTATGTATATATGTATGCATTTTAATTCGAATTTTTAATACAATGCCAGTATCTGTTGCAGTGGGTGAGCGATCCTTCAGTAAACTTAAATTAATAAAGAATTGCTTTCAGTGAAAAATGAGTCAGCTAAGACTCTGTCATATGATAATATAATAACAAACTGTGCCGTTAAAAAAGCAAGAAAAGAGTGTTTTATACAAGCCGTTTTTTCTTATTTGAATTTCTAAAGAATGTCTAATAATGCATTTATGTTGTATTTGCGTTGCTTAGTTGTATTTTTTTAAAGATTTAATGTTTGAAAATATTACCGTAAAATGATTTTAACAGGAATAAACCACAATTAAGAAAATTCATTTTAAAACCATATGCACTCATGAAAGATTGCATTAGATTGTTTTTTTAAATAATATATCTTTAAAGGGGCGCCTATTCGACGCTATACCCCGGGCGCCATAAAAGCTCTCGGCGTACCTGGGTACGACTCACTACCATCTCAGTCACCGCCATCTCATCTCTACTTGAGTAGTACTAGACCCGAGAGCCGCCATCATTAGCCGCTAGCAGTCGCCGAAAATCCATTTGTATAACGATATATATGCATAGTATATATATATATATCGTTATACAATAGCCGGCACTATATATATCGTTATACGATATATATAGTGCTGGCTCAAGCAAGCGCGAGGCCCGATGTGAGTTTAGTATGCAAGGCCTTCAATGAAAACCTAAAAAAAAGGGAGGGGTGAAGAATACTAATATACGAGGATAAAATCGTGCTTTTATATATAATCGTCTTTTAAATATAAAATATACAAACATATATAAATAAAATATAATATATAAATACTCAATAGTGTCACTAGTTATTACATTGAACAAAAATACATGTTATAACATGTTTTTCACAAAAATCATATATTATGCACATGATTATTTTTATTTTGATTATTAAATCTTCTATAGAAAACTTAAAAAAAAAATTCGCTTTGTAATCTCTAGCTATATATATATATATATATATATATATATATATATATATATATATATATATATATATATATATATATATATATATATATATATATATATATACATATATATAACCATATATGTAACCAATTTTACATTGTATAGATTTTTCTATTTGTAACTTCAGTATCTTGCCTCAGATACCTTTATCTTCAGTTGACAGTTATTCATCCCTTAAAAAGTTTTACGCCATACCAAAGAAAAAATTTTGATTCGAAACCTCTGCTTTTATCCCAGTTGGTGATAGTTCTTTAGAATTTTTAAATAAGTGAAAGAGTTGTTAAAAAACTATAATTAATGTTACGCAACGATATTATGTATTTTTTTCCCCCACTTGATCACTCAATATATCTGAAAGAAAAATATGAAGAAAAGATTTTTTAATCTTATTTATTGCCTATGGTTTTACATTGAAAGAATAAATGTACAATCGAAGTAATTTAAATTTTTATATATTGTAGTTTTAGCACGATCCATGTCATGCCGAAGTCACCAACGATATTGGTTAGTTGGTTAGCTGCATGAGTACAGGAAAATGAAAAAATATGTATAGAAAAACAATTTCTATAAATTGTTTTTCTATACATATTTTTATAAAAACGTTTTATGTATATTCTATACATAAAAAGTTTTTATAAAAAACTTTATTCAAGCCCTTAGAAATCAAATATGTACGGAAAAATATGTTTCAAATATGTACGGAAAATCAAACGTCTTTTTGCCTATGTTAGTTTTTTAAGGTGGAAGATTTATCCGTGAATAATGAAACCCAGAGTTGTGTTGAATTAAAGCCATGATTAAAAAATAAAAATTTTAAAGGCTACCGGCTTAAACAGTGATACCCATCATAGAATTAGTATAAATATAGACATATTTTAGTATTGTATATATATATATATATATATATATATATATATATATATATATATATATATATATATACATATATATATATATATATATATATATATATATATATATATATATATATATATATATATATATATATATATATATATATATATATATATATATATATATATATATATATATAAATAGTAGTTAATATATATTGAAATATATTTTTGTGAAAAATAATTCATATGATCAAAAATCTATATTTTTTAAATAAAAATATTAAAGAATAAAATACCTTTCTTCACTTTTATTTCATTCTTTATTTTCTCGGTCTTTTTAACAACTTTTTGATATTAAGAAAAATAGTTTAATTATTTTTTATAACAAAATTATAAAAACATTATATATATATATATATATATATATATATATATATATATATATATATATATATATATATATATATATATATATATATATATATATATATATATATATATATATATATGTATGTATGTATGTATGTATGTATGTATGTATGTATGTATGTATGTATGTATGTATGTATGTATGTATGTATGTATGTAAAAAAGTCTTACTATATATTACTATTAAAACCAAACTACAGCAAAAACTAAACAAATTAGGCGCGGTTAATTATCTGGAATTGGTGGAAAGAAATTAAAAACTGGAAAACGGTATAGTATTTTGGTTTCATAATTTTGCGATTATTTAAAAAAAATAATTACAATATTTTGATGGAGGTTAAACTAACTTTTGAGTAGTATAACTTAATAGAAACTTGAATTAACTTATTTCATTTCGTTATATAGAACTTTATTTTTTAAATATTTTTTTTCATTAGTTCGAAAAAATCAAAATAATTATTTCAGTCTGATCAAACTTTGGACTCAAACTGAGTGCAATATTTATCAAGTTTAATTGTTTTATTATCATCAGTAGGCAAAATTAGTTAAGAACAACAAGTATATAACAAAGTATATCAATCGATATCGCCAGTTTTATTACACTAGACTGCGAATCATTTTAATAACTTGCATTTCGAATGATAAAAAATTTGTTTTTTTTTACTTAAAATATGGCCGTTGATTTGATTAAAATGTCGCAAGTTTCAGGGCCGACGACAGAATTTTTTTTTTTAGAAAATTTCTTGGTATAGAGGACTTTTTTTAGAAATTGAAAATTGTACTCCTCCACTTTAAAATTCGCACTTCTAAGAAGAAACTGTTTATAATTGCATAGATAAAAACTAGTCTTTGTTCTTCGATTTTCTTGGATAATCAGGCATTTGTGAAAATGTCTATATCCAATTTTTAGACTTATAATTTATGAACTATTATTTAGCCAAATTGTTTATTCTGTATAAGAATTATGAGAATTATTATCCCTTTTGTTTTCAAGTTTTGATATATTTTTAAATAATATATATATATATATATATATATATATATATATATATATATATATATATATATATATATATATATATATATATATATATATATGTATATATATATATATATATATATATATATATGTATATATATATATATATATATGCCCAGTAAAAATTTCTTTAATGTCTCATCAGATCCAAATAATTCAAAAAACAATATAGTGACCAATTTAAAGACTAATAAAATTGAGATTTTTAATCGTGATAAACAATATTAAGCAGTATATTTCTAGATTAAAATAACTCTTGGTGGTTGGATTTTTACTACGCAATACAAATTTACATAAAAGTAAAAAAAAAGCATCACCATTATAAAACACTAGAATATTTTTGAGATGTAATATGTACTAGCTACTCTACAGTTTACTTCAAAAGAAATTGACTTGAAGCTTAACCCAAAGCAAAATTGTAATATCTTCAACGTATAATAAATTATTTTAAGATTAGGCTCAATGGATCTTAGCATTGTCTTGATTAGATCAAGCTTACCAAGACCGCTAACTTTCAGCGTTAGATTTGTATTTCGAGAATTTGTATTTATGAATGTTTCTTGTGGCTAGATATTTCAATTTCTTCTCCTTTATTTGGCCTACTTTTAGCTTCTAAAAATTGTAAAAACAAAAAAATGTTTTTTGTTTTTTCTGCAGCTTGATTTTTATCTTTTATCTGTTAAATAGGAGTATCAAAAGAGCTGTTGGTTCACCTCAATTTCTCTAGTTCTCACTATTTTTATTTTATTTTTAGAGGAAACGAGTTTTGTTCCTACCTTCTTTTTGTAAAAACTTTTTCTTTTTCTTTTTTTTTTGGAAAGAATTGTTAACTATAATATGCTAGACCAAAGGCAATCAAATGACCTTCATTAATGAATTAGGGCAAAGAAAATCGCATTCTTGGAACTTTTTCAATAAAAGTCTTCATAAGCTTCTTCTCGTCATCTAAGGAGTTTTTAAGACACAGTCAAAAATTATGGCTTGAAGAATTTTTGAAGTAGAAGGTTGTCAAGCTGATAAATTCAAATGACTGAATCTTTTTCGCAAGAGATTTTACTTCATTCAATTGATCACCTAGTTGATCATAAAGCTTCTGCAAAGATACAAAGAATTCCTTTGATACCATAATCAAAGACTTCACTGATGCAATGCGTGCACTCCACCCGGCTTATGAAGCCCAGCAAACATGTTATAGCGTGTTTTCAGTGAACATATATAGACGCTTTAAGCGAATCGTTGTAGTTTTGCTTAGCAGTTATGTAGTGGACCATTCGTGACAGCCGCCAAAATTGGCTAGCCGATGACTAGCCACTATTTAAATGTCGGAAAATTATCGGCTTACCGTTAATAGCGGTTGCCACTAATGGTCCACTATGTAACCGATGAGCAAAACTTGAATGAACTGCCAAAAATTTCAATAAAGGTTCATTGCAAATCCACTAAAACAGTGTTTGCTAGAAGACTTAGTCAAGAAACAAACCAGTTGTTTTGGTCAAGAATTTCTATTAAATTGGGCATCCGCTAAAAAGATTGTAAAGCGATTAAATCCGTTTAAATAATTTTTTATTTCCACGGAAAGTTCAGCGGAATAAACGCCAGCAAGATCAAGATTACAAGCTCAACCTCCGTAACATGTACAATACTTGAGAATTCTTCTGAAGTATAATTGCTGGTATTTCTTTGCACACATTTGCCTTTTAATCGCTGTCTAAAAAATTGTTTTAAATTTAAGCTTATTAGTTTTTTCTTTATATGTTTTTAAGAGAGGAAATTATCTAAGCTGCTTGACTCTATTATTATCAAAAATGTTTTATTTGTTGACATAAACAAAAATTAATTATCGCCCTATTTCTATCCTTCCTACGTTCTCAAAAATATTAGAAAAAAATGATGTTCAAAAAGACATACAACTACCTGATTTTAAATAATTTACTATATAAAAATCAGTTCGACTTTAAAAAAAATAGTTTAACTGAATAAGCCATTGTTCAGTTTACACGTGAAGTCTCAAATTCTTTTGCTAAATAACAATATACACTTGGTGTTTTTGTCGATTTATCAAAGGCTTTTGATACAGTCAATCGTGATATCTTACTTAAAAAACTTGAATTCTACGGAATAACTGGTAAAATGATCAAATGATAAAAAAGCTACTTGTCAAATAGACAGTAATTCGCCTACCGCGGAGAAGAATTGCTTCCTATTGATCTTCAAAATAAAATATTAATTGAAATAAAATGTGGTGTTCCACAGGGTTCTATTCTTGGTCCACTTCTCTTTTTAGTATACGTCAACGATCTAAATAATGCCTCGAATCTTATGAGCATCATGTTTGCCGACGATATCAATTTATTTTTATCAAACAAAGACATTAACAAACTTTTTTAAATAAGAACTTAATCAAGTTTCTACTTGGTTTAAATCCAATTAATTAACCTTAAATATTGACAAAACAAAGTGGATCCTTTTCCACTCCTCAACAAAAAAACATTTTTTGCCTTATGATTTACCTAAATTTTATATTGATAAAGTGGAAATAAAAAAAGATTCCGTTTTAAAATTCCTAGGTATTTATCTTGACGAAAATATGACATAGAAAGTTCATATTGATTATGTATCAACAAAAGTTACAAAAAGTATTGAAATTCTCTATAAGGCTAGAAATTATTTAAAAAATAATAATTTAAAACAACTATACTAGTCATTTATTCATAGCTATATAAACTATGCAAATATTGCCTTACGTTTTTTTGTTTGAATAACTTTTTATTTCATGTTTCTAAAGATCTATTTACCTTTAAATTTAAGAACAAATATAGTTTGCGAAACAATAACTATTTAAAAGAACCCTTTTGTCAAACAAAAATTAATCAATTTTGTATAGATTATCGAGCACCTTATATCTGGAATAAAATTGTACAGCCTAATTTAGATTCATCTATCTCTTTTTTTGTTTTTAAAAACAGAAGGAATATTATTTTTTCAACGGATAATGTATTGAAATATTTTTGAGATATTAATTTAACTATTTATTATTTCAAATGTTTTGGATTTTTATTTTGTTATAAACTATCTGTATTATCTTTATATGGTTCTGGCGACAAGATCGATATGAACTTCTTGCAGATTCCAAGTTTATATGTTTATATTACATGTATATAAGTTATATCACATGTAAATCGCAACACGTATATAATGTAAGTTATGTTTGAATCCAAACATATAATAATTATTAAACAATAAATAACTTTAAAAAGTAAGATTAAAAATAGATAAAAGTTATTTTTGGTTTGTTAGAGCTTAATCAAATTTGTTTTATAAGTCCCAATTAAGATTTCTGTTTTTCTTGGGTCTAAGTTTTTATGTAAATCAAATTATTTTAACTCGATACCTTGTTTTCTTTTTTGTAGTGTTATTGAGGCTGATAAGACAAATTTTGCATTATTTTTATCTACTTGACCATAATTGGTTTTTTTGACTACAACAATATTTGTGTTATATATACATGTTCTTTTGACACATTCTTTTTTAAAACAATCAAATTTGAGTGTTTATCAAAAAAATTTTACAATTTTTGCCAATAAAAAAAATTTACAGTCATAACATAAAAAAAATATTTACATAACCGGGGCTAGAAGAAGACAAAATTAGTCTGATCATTAAGCACCAAAAAACGCGTCATTACTAGACAAAATATAGTTTAACAATAAAATATAGTTTTAATGTATATATCTCTGATTTATATTAGAAAAGAAAACGTAAATATATCGCATATCGTTTAAAATTTATAGTTTTTTAAAGAATAAGGTTTAAGAATTGATAAAATTGATAAAATAAAAGAAACAAAATATTAAAATGACAAAAACAACATTTAAGAATTGGTTTGAAAAATAAGAAAATTTGACTTTATATAAAAAAACATTTTATTGTTAGAGCAGTTTGTAGTTTAACTTATTTAATCATATTTATAATACTTTTACATTGACAATAAGGTAAAAGCAAATAAACAGTAAAAAATAAAAGTAAAAGATTAATAAATAACGTAAAAATAAAAAATAAATTTCTCAAAAAGAAGATTATCATTTAAAATAATAAAAATATATGTACATATGTTGATTAATTATGTATTAATATTCTAAAGTAATTAATTAATTAACTATTAATTATTGATTTTAAAATTAAAGAAGCTTAATTAGAAAAAATTGAATTCATTTTCAGTTAACAAAAGTAATTGCTTAAGTTTTGTTTTGAAATACGTTCAGAGAATAATAAGTTTTCAGTTCATTATTTAATATTATGTTCCACAACTTTGGTCCTCGGTTTACAATAGAGAATTTAGTAGCGGAAAAATAAGTTTTGGATTGAATGTAGTTGTATTTTGAAAATCTAGTAGAGTATATGTGATTTATTTTTTCAAAAATTGAATAAAATAAGATTGGTAATACATTTTTATCAAGTTTGAACATAAAAATAAGAACATGATAGAGATTTAGTCTATATACATTTAGGATATTGAGTTCATTAAATAGTTTTTGTGTGTGTGAGAAACGATCTACGTTTGAAATTGCTATACAAAATATTACCTAAAGTTATTTATAAATGTGTGAATTTACTATATACAAGTAAAATACATATATGTGAATTACTATGCGTGAATTTGATAATAGGAATAGTGAACTAGATCTGCATAGGTTACCATAAGGCAATTCAAAGGATGATTTACTCTAAACCACCCAATAGCTGCAGACATTGTCAAACTCTTTCTGCCTGTAATTTTTTTTTTTTAATATTTCGTCACTATATATTTTACATACAATCAACTTTAATTCATGTATACATTTATAAATAAGATAAAAATTAAAATAATGACAGGAGCAAGTAGAAGACTGCAGTCTTATCATCAAGCCCCTTTCATTTGCAACTTTGCAATAAGTTTCACGTGAGCTTAACGTGACATTAAAAGTTCATAAATAGCCTTGTACGTAAAAAATAAAGCCTTGTACCTAACGATCTGATAGATGTGTGTAGAATAGAAAAATTATTAGTATTGTTATATAATCATCTTTTGTGGTCATCCAAATGGGATAAGTTCGTTTTAGTTATTATTAGTTTGATCTCTAAAAGTAGAAGAGTATGTTGACGTCATTTAAGTTAAATAGGTGCTGTTTGACAGCTGCTTTAAAGAGATTTGATGACTTCATGTTTTTTATTTCTTCTTTAAGTATTGAATTCCATAGCCGCGGTCCTCGAGATAAGATAGAGAAGTCAGTTATTTTAAGTAAAGTCTTTGGAATGTTAAAGTTTTGAAAAGAGTACTTTTTTGAGTATTTGTGATCAATGGTGGAAAATTGATTTTCAATGTGTTTTGGTAGTAAATTGTTTTGCAATTGAAGCATAAATAATACATTTTGGAGAAGGTTCAGTTCATAAACATTTAGAGCTCAAAGTTCCCTAAATAATGGTTTGGCATGGGTATATCTGTTAGCATTGCATACAATTCGACACGCTTGCTTTTGTTTTACATATATTTTTTTTAGTACTGAAAAGTATGTGCTTGCCCAAACGATATTGCAATAGTTGATATAACTGTGAATGAACGAATAATATATATTTTTTAAGCAAGTATTATTTAGAAGGTGTTTTATTTTATGCATGATGCCGATTGACTTGAAGATTTTATTTTCGATGTGCAAAATATGATTCTTCCACCTAAGATTCTCTTGAAAAATTATTCCCAGGATTTTCATCGAGTAGTCTCTTTCTATATTAATGTTGTTGATCATAAGCTGGGGAAGCTGAAGTGATAAATTAACAGAGTTAGATAACTTTTGAAATAAAAGATATTTGGTTTTGAGGATGTTTAAGGAAAGTTTATTAGCTTTGAACCACTCGTTTAAGTTTTGTAGTTCGTGATTAACTGTAGAAAATATTGTTTTTATTTTTGAGTGAGTAAAGAAAATATTCGTATCATCTGCAAAAAGAATAAAATTAAGAATGTTTGAAGTTAAGTAAATATCGTTCACATAAATTAAAAATAGTAAAGGTCCAAAAATGGAGCCTTGGGGTACACCACAACTAATTGTTTGCAACCGTGTACATGTTGAGTTATACAACACTCCTTGTTTCCTGTTATTTAAGTAATTTCTGAACCATTTTAGATTGTTATTTGTTACTCCATATATCTCTAGTTTGCGTAGGAGAAACTCGTGGTCAACTGTATCGAATGCTTTGGTTAAATAGATTTATAGTGTGAAAGTTTGCCACCAAGAGACAAACGGACATTAACTAAAAAAACATCGAATAGACCACTAGTATGTCATAGTAAAGTATTAAAATAATTTTATTTCAGGTAAAGGTTTAGCATGTTAAATATATAACTATTTTGGACTTTTCTATAATTAGGATTAAGAAATCAAGTTTTTTAAACAATTTTAGGATTATGTCAACGCCAACCTTTTAGTGGCTATAGTTATATATATAGTTATTGTAGTTAATTAAGTTTAATATCCACTTAAAATTTAGATTTCAACTTAATGTTCAAGTTTATGCAGCCTGTAGTTTACTATAAAAGTATTATGTGTGTAAGTATGCTAGTTGCTATTAATTACTTTTTGTTTGCCACAAAAGGTATTAATTATTTTAAATTGATGCAAAGATTTTCAATACAAACTTAGTGTATTTGTAACTTTATAATCTGAATATAAAGCCAGATATAAATTAACACTTAAAAGAAGTTCAGCCGGAAATACAACGATTCCGTGTAAATTAACACTAAAAAGGTGTGTAGCATAAACACATCGAAACGGTATAAATCATTACTAAAAGAGTGTGTGTAGCATGAAACACACCAAATTGGTATCAATTAGTACTAAATGGATAAAAAATACCAAAACGGTGTAAGTTATTCCCTAAATGATGTTTCATACTTTACATCTTTTTAGCAAAACTTTTTAATTAGAATCATATAATGAAATTTTTATTTCGCTTATAATAAAATAAGATGTCAAATATTTGTGTATACATCGTGTACGTTTATATATAGAAGAAAAATTGCAAATAAAAAATAATTGACCGAACTTTCTTACCGTTATCAATATTGTTAACCAATTTTGCCAACGATTTATTGTCTTAAAAAAATTAAATATTCGTTTATAAATATCTTACAACTACGTTACAGACGTATTTGTAACTATAACTCCTCTCTCTAACATATCAAATTTTAAAAATAATCATTTACCTTGGTATACTGATTTTGAAAGAATCGGTTTGATGTAAAACAAAAGATAAAAAAGTAACATCCAACCCATCTTTATCTGTGAAGTTTTTTTTCATAAATAAAAAAATTTTCGTTAACGCGATATAAAGCATCTAATTAAATGGACAAATATTTTTATATATATTTCAATAATTAGTATTTATTTATTTAGTATGTTAAAAAAAAACCTTTTATGCTATATAAACTTTTTATTTAAGTCAAAATTAAATAGGCAATCATTTACTTTATGAAAAAATAAATATTTATTAAAAGAATTGACTAATGGATGGTATCTAGAGTCTGAAACAAAGAAATATAAACAGTTCTTAAACGGAATAATAAACGGCGAATATAAAAATTTAGCATTTAAAGAACACACTCTAATGAAAAATTGTTGAGATAAACGGAAACAAAAAAATTGCCACCAAAGGTGCGATGTAAAGTTACATCATATAGGGGCTTACATAAACATACCTAAAATATTACATCAGATTACATGAAAAAATTTACATTGAATCGTTATTGAAAGATTAAATGCAACATTAAATTGCTAATGAGATATTAGAAAGGTTACTAGGCTACTATTCATAAAAGAAACTTTACTTTTTATCACTTATAACAAACATTATTTAATATCACTTACAACAAACTTTTTGGTGCAATAAATTTTATCTTTTCGAATTTTATTTTAGGAATAAATATTACCAGATATTTATTAGATTACTCGTATCCTGCAAATATACAATATATTTAACAGTTGTCCTATCCGTCCGCCAAATGTGTCGTATATCCATTTGACATCAGGAGCAGTAGTGCATAGGTTATCCAAAGGTTTCAAGTTCAAACCTAGCTTGAATCACACGAGCATTGCCGGCCATGTTGGAAATAGGGAACCAGCTTATTGATTGTTATTCCCTGAACCATGCTTTGTGATAAGAATTTTCTTTTATAGATTTTCTTTTAACAAAAAAGCAATAAAAACTGTTCAATCTAGCTTCGAGACGCTTTATATATTCTTAATAAACTTTTGTTTTCATTTTATATTTAATCTTTCAAATCTCTAAATTTTAGATTTTGATTAATATCTTCATTTTTCATTTCACAATTATATAATTGTTATTTATAAGTTTCGCATTTTTTACGCATTTACGCATTTCTTACGCATTTACGCATCTGTTTAGCGATGTTGTCACTTTTGGTACTTTGGTACCAAAAAAGTACCAAAATTAATTAGAAGTTTTATTTAGAAAATCATCACGTGACTACAAGACATTGTTTCATCACGTGATTACAAGACACTGTAAGATATTGTTTGTAGGCATAGCTTGTACACCCGTACAACTATTTATTTATTTTTTTTGCATGCGCGTTCAACTATTTTTTCTTATTTGTACGCGCGTATTTAAACATTAGTTATTATTAAATATTTTGACTATTTCACCTAAAAATCTTGGGTAATTTAATATGTTTTTATAAAATAAACTAAAATAATTTATAAAACTTGTTTAAATAATTATTAAAATGGTTTACTTTTAAAAGAATGTCAACGTTTGTACGCCTATCCCTATTTAAGTCAGTCAATGTATGTGCACTCCGCTACAACTACGGATATATCATTCGATTTATACACGCATTGATGCACTTATTCTATGAAATTTAAATAATAATAAACATAACTATAAATAAACAATAATAGTTAAAAACATAAAACTACTTAAAAATGAAATATTAAAGTTTAAAAAGACGACCATCCTTAGGACCGATTTCCTGACAACCGCGCCTTTAATTATATATGAATTACAATAAAGAATTAAACTTTATTACGTGCTAATTATTTGTGCGCGTGTTAAAATAATGACTTTTGTTTTGTAACTAATAATGACTATTTCATAGTTTGCTTTACAACCAGCTGCCATAGTCACCTCCCTCCGTTAAACTCTGCGATGAGCTATCGGCTGCTTAAAAGTAAATCGGCAGTTTTTAACGCCAGCAATAAAATAAACTCATACTCTAATGTCTCCGTTTCGTTGACGGCAGTAGTAAATTTAGTTATCGAAAGGCTGTTAACGCCAAAATCTAACCCTGCTATACTCAGCGTAGTTAGAGCTCCGAACGATTCGCATTTCTTAAATACAAAAATTTACATTTTTAAACTTAAATTTTTTGTGTTTTCCGTTTATTTTCGACTATTACTGTTATACATTTTTAAAAACTAGAACTTAAGCTTTTCTTATATAATATATTATTTTTTTATAAATCTTTTTTTAACCAAAGCATCAAGCAAAACAAAACAACCACTAAAATTCATTAAACGCGACGGGGCATTGTCATAAAAACAGCTGAAACAAATGTGTCAAGTATTTAGATTCCAAAAATGCCTCTTTTATTCGAAAGTAAAAAGACTCGTTGTTTACAGCATTAAAATATTCAATAAATGACTAAAAACCTCTTATTTTATTTTTCCGTAAATAGTAAAAAACGTTAGAATCGAAGTTTTCACAGTCGTTTATAGTCGTTTGAATAAATACTAAACAGAAACGTTTCAGTTTTTATATAACTTCTGCCCCATAGTATTAAGCTAAAACTTCAAACTCTTAGATAATAAAATCACCGAATATTTGTAAACAAAATAAAACAACAAGCTTCATGATTTTTTTTTAAAAATAAACCAATTAAAACGCACACAGAATAAAACAGCATTTTTTGAAAACAAAACGGCCTAAACGCTATATTTTTTTTCGGATCTCTCCTTAACTACGCTGAGGGGACCTTAGACCATTAAAAATGATAGACACGGCCTTAGCTATAAAATGCTACTCTAAAAGTGAAGCCAAAAAAGCTTTGCTTAGTGACGTCAGTCTGTTACAAAAAATCTTATTTTAGGTCTCATATTTTTTGATTCATTTTAATTAGGGTGTACACAATTGCACAAAAAGATGTAAAAGTGGTACAGATAGATTATTTCAAGGATAAGAGTTTGTATTAGTTACAATAGTAATTAATAAATAGTTTTAAAGAAATGACATAGTAATTACTATATTTAGTCTTTATTACAATATATGCCATAAAAATATTTTATGTATATTTTTTAAAAAAAGAATTTTTCTAAAAAATTTAAATAAAATTTTATTTCTAGTTTGTTTGTTTTTTAGTTTTTTGCCAGAAAGTGACGTCACATTCTCTAAAAGATTTTGGCTTCAACGATTTACGAAAACACCGCGCCTATCATTTTTAATGGTCTTAGGAGGGGACCGCCTAAAAAGCCGAATTTTAAGCAAACTTAGTCTTCAAGCAGAGAGCATCTCTTGTGATATAAATTCTTGTTACGCGAAGTTTGAAAATATTTTGTCTGGGCCTCAAACTCATGTTAAAATGAATCCTTGCTCACTGAGCAACATTGACGCTAGATATCTTTGAAAGTTTTCATCAATAACTAGTGTTTTATTCACAATAGCTTTAAAAATCTTTTTAAAGCTATTGTGAGCGATGTTAAACTGACCAAAACATTTTTATATATTGCAAATGACAGAACAAAGTGTAGCTTTAAGCTTTTTTGGCCACAGTTTAAGACTTTTGAAAGTGTTTTTATACATATTTTTACATATCCTGGTTTTGAACCACATCAATTATTTCATTAATCAGAAAAAAGTAACATTTAAATTTTAAAGTACGCGGGGATTATTAATAAATCATCTCTGCAGTACTTACTCAAAAAGATTTAATCAAGGGATTAGTCATCTTGAGTATGCTCAAAGGCTTTAGAACTGCAAACTTGACAACAAACATTAGAACAAATATAAAATGGCTTTTGTTAGAATTTATTAACGTGTTAGAAAAATTTTTTTTTTTTTAAGTAGGTATCAAAGATATCAAAAAAATGTTGAGTGCTGTAAAAAATTGCATGCTTTTGGAATGCTGTTACTTTGCTCATATAAGCAGTGGCGGTTTAAGTCAACAGAGAGATCTAAACAGTAAAAGGAACTGCCCTACATTCAGAGTTTTGGCAAGATGACCCTTTCTTTAAGGTTGCCAATAACTCAAAAGTTTTTTTAATTATTACTTAGTTAAGTTTCTCCAAAAAGCCCTAAATGTCTTATCACAGAACACAGCGGAAAAGCATTTATCCAGAAAGTTCTCTTCCTTTCCAATGACGGTTGTTAGGTTAGATCCGGAAATCTCCTGGTTCTGAGTTACAATTCATATAACTGCACCACGACTGCCGTTTATTAAAAGCCACTTTTAATAAAAATTTATTTTCATTTTATCTAAAAATGATAACAAATATTATCATTTTTAGATGATATGCTAACAAATATTAGACGGTTTCCTAATATATCGAGCATTTAGAAATGAACTTTTTTGTTACTAGAAAACATGCATTTTTACCATGATTTAGATGATTTTCTTTGGACAATTTCTTGTTCAATCAACCTAAAACAAGTAAGAGTTATACTGCCACATCAGGGATTACTAAAACTACTATGAAGTCTCTTATTTTACGGAACGGAAAAAGGACGGAAAAAAAAGTGAAACAATTGAAATATTAAAAAATGATATTAAATAATATAAAAATAAAAAATAATATAATGATCAATAAATATATTTTAAAGCTCTATCATTTATAAAAATTTAAAACTTTTATAAATAAAAAATATAAAATGCGAATTTAAAAAATATTGGCTGTACCCTCATATTAAATTAGAGAGATAACTTTTTAGCACTTTTACTTTCTAAATTAAATGATGTCGAGTGCACGAATAAAAAAACACAAAAAAATGAATAAAAATTACACAAAAAAACGAATAAAAATTACTCAAAAAAAAAAACGAATAAAAGTTACACATAGAAATGTTTAAAAAAAACGAATTACACATAGAAACGTTTTTAAAAAAACAAATAAAAGTTACACAAAAAGACGAATAAAAATTTGACATAGAAACGTTTTTCATATTTTGAAACACTATTAAATAATATATAACAAAAACGAATTAACTGCAAAAGAATAAGAAAACCCACTTTTCTATGTGAAATATAATTTTTAATTTTGGAACAACGAGA